TGAAATTATTAATGGTTAATGCGATATCTGATAAAAAAATCTTATTAAAATTTGACGAACAAATGTTTTAATCAATTTAGAAAATCAAATAATGTGAGAAGTCTTGAACTAGTAAACGAACAATTTGAAATTATAGATAGTTAATACGATATTTAATGTAATAAGAAAAAATTTAATAAATTTGACGAACAAATGTGTTAATCAATTTAGAAAAATAAATAACATGTCACATTTTTATAACAAGTTTATTATATTATTTATTTTTACGTAAATCGATGTATTTGTTTTTGATAATTGTCATATCTTATTTTTCTAAATTAACAATATAGAAAAATTTATTGTGATATTTTTAACCTTATTACTATCGTAAAAGAAATCCTTTAAATGTCTTAAATAAAATTTGCTAGATGGTATTTTAATTATTGGTAGTCGTTACACAAAATATTCAATATATTTGATAACAAAAATTATTTTAAATAAAATATAAAAGTGATTGTAAAAATTATGAATATTTACAATAAACAAAAGTGAAAGTAACGCATTCTTGTTTGAAAATACTATTATCTTAATTGTTAAGTTTGTAATTACAACAACATAAAAGTAAATCAAAATACGAAAGTAATAGGATATTTATGAGGATATTAAATGTAAAATAATAAAATTTAAATCTTTTTTTTTCAAGTATTTTAAACATATATTGTAATATATAACAAATGAGTAATAAATTAATAAAAAATCCTAAACATCAAGTTATTTTCAAATTAACATTTTCTAAAATTCTTGTAAAGCAATTTTAGAAAAAAGAAATTAGGATATTTAGGTTCGTTGCCAATTAAATCGAGTCCTCCCCATATTTGTTTCAGTTCGTTAGGTTTCGTGAGCCATGAATAGGATGCAGTCGTGAATATCGAAGTAATTTTCGCGCTTGAACTACATCCACGTTATTACGTCAAGGATCGATGAACGATGACACAGAAATGACGCAACGGGGCCATCGGATATCAATATAGGCGTATCAAATAAGCTAATTATTCATTAAATCGTGATAACGCGTCATTTACGTAAAGGAATTACACCTTCAGGCTAATATTTTGCGCATAATAATTTTAAGAAGGGAGAGAGAGAGAAAAATAGAGTAAAACGATATTCAAAGCGTCGTTTTCCCGTTCTCTCGTGATACAACGAGTACCTGTCGGCTCTTTCCTTCACACCGGAAGAAGAGTGGTTATTAAAACTTCGTTATAAATTTCAAAGTTATGGAAAGAAGGATGAGTGGGTGGATGGTAGTGTAGAGGAGACGTTAGCGCTAGCTGATGGAGTTTGAGGGAAGATAGAATGGAGAACAAACGTAACTGCTGCCCGTCAAAGGAAATACTTCACTGCTAATTGTAAAGAGGAAATTATTATCTTACCAGACGTAATTTCCTAGTCACGAATTTCTCAAATCTTTTTGCGGTCAAAACTTGAGAATATTTCTTTGGCATAAGAGAATACTTCTTATTTAACGTTAATCTTATTTCAAGTTTTATCTACGTTTAGAATATTTTTATTCTAAACTAAGAAATTATTATTAACTTTTTTGAAAGTAGTTTAGTATTTTTTTTTTATGGTTAATAAGAGAAAATGTTTATAATTTAAAATCAAAGATGTTTTAAAATGATCGTGGATTGTTAAATTTGATAAATTAGTATACACTGATGCCTTCATTTTGTTGTCATATCCTGCTACTGGATGACCAAAATGTGGTCAAATTATTAGAACGAAATTTTTAAAAGCCATTTTAAAGAAAATTATGATAATAATATTGACTGCAATTTTTCATTTAAAAAAATCCTATTTTAATTGCTTGTAAATGAAATAATTTTGAGATTTACCTCAAAGTGAGGTTAGATATCAGTGAACATGACTAATAAAATCCTTGTACAATAAATAAAATTACTTTTTGAACAATCTAATACAATATTAATAATAATTATATTTACATTATAATTATCATCATTGATATGATAAATTTTTGTATCTTAAATGTTGAATACATATTTTTAATGTGATATATACTTTATATTTTTTATATTGCAAAATTATTATTTCAAATATATTGTTGAATAAAATGATTCCTAACAAAATTTAATTAAATGATCTTTGTTAAAGGGAATATTAATGGAGACACGTAACGTTCTATATATTTCAATATGAAGCTAATGACGATATTAGTAACACCTGCATAGGCAATTAATATATTATACAGGTTATCCCGTCTAGGGAATAACCCTAGCTAAAGGCACCAAACTAAATATTTCTTTCATTTACAATATTACAAAAACTATTTTCTAGGTCATTTGTATGATGAATATCTACATTGCAAAAAAATATTGTCGTATCAAAGAAAAAAGACGCGTGCATATAAATTATCGTAGTCGCTAAAAAGAAAAATATATGATCGTGAATCATAAACTCAAACTTTTTTTTATTTTCAACTTCAACCAAAATAAATATATATTGCTTGTTATAGTTGTGTGAATCACTGGACATTTTTTAAAAAAATTTTTAACGAATTAATCTTTTTTTTTTTTTTTATATTCCACTCGAAACATTTTTTTGTTACGTACGATACGAAAAATCAATTAATAGGACAAAATTGTGAAGTTCGATTGCAAAAAAAGAAAAAAACAAATTATAATGAAATCTCTCGAAAAAAATTGCAGGGTGGAAAAATTGTTTCCACAATTATTTTCTCCATAAAATAAACAAAAATAGCATATTAATAGTTATTAAAATATTTGATATAATAAACCAATTGATTTAATTGTCTTTAACGAATCTTATTTGATAAAGATTACATTTATCTTGATACTAAGATAAATCACATATAATGCTATTGTAATGGAATCAATTTAATAATTTAAAAAGATTAATGTGTCATCGTATTCTTACATCATCGTTTAACTTTTCCCATCYTTTTCTTTTTCTTTTTATCTTTTTTTCACTTTTATTTTATGCTCTTCGTTAATTGCTGGATTTAATCCCATTTAACAGTTTCTTACATTCGATGAAATAGAACGATAAAAATGATTCCCTTTTTTTTTCCTTCCATCTATTCATGGATTCTCGCGATTCGAAGGGTAGTGTACTACCACCAAGAAGAAAAAGAAAACGAAGAAGAATAATTAGCTTCATTAGAGAAGGTCTGTAAATGAAATGCCCAAGCGTAATATAAAATATATTATACGTGGAATGCTTTCGAACATTTTTCCCTATCTTTTCGAACGTTTTCGTTTAAATGAAGGAAGAACTGGCTGGGGAGAGGGAGGGGGAAATACGTAATAATTTTCTTATCCTACGTTTGTTTTCTTTTCCTTTCCATCTCTCACACCTATCTGTATTTATTTTTTGCATTTTATTATATATTTTTTGTTTGTTTCTTTCTCCGTTCTCCACCCCTTCTTCCTCTTTCGAAAAAAGAAACGTTGTAAAGGTCACAAGCACGTTTGGCTAATTAGCCTGCTTTACGAGTAATTAGTCAAGAGTCGTCGTAATTGATTCCGGTGTTTTGGTGCATAAAAACTTAACGGGTCAGGAGGTTTTAGTGTAAATGAGAGAAAGATTGAGAGAGAGAGAGAGAGAGGGAATGAGATAGATATATATGTATATGTATGTACATTTTGGATAGTACATACACACACATACATTGAAGTGAGACGAACGATGAAGGAAGACTTTCAGAATAACGTGTTTCTCGAAAGTAGTTCGTGGAAAGTTTAAGCATACGCCACGTATTACTACCTCTTTCAATTCTAAATGAAAGGAGAAGAAGACAGCTTTTCCAACTTGTTCAGCATAGGCTTTCGTAGAGGGAAAGGTATTTTCATTTTTTCCCCTCCCTCTCACCCGTTACGATTCTCCCTGCACCATCTACCTTCTGTCCTTTACAAAAATTCAGTTTTTTGTTGTCCTCCTTTCCTAATTCTTTCCGGTCTTGGTTTTGTTTAAACCCTAGGTCTTTTTCATTAATATTTTTCGATTTTAATATTGAAAAGAATACTTTTCTTGAATCATATTGCCTGTATTTTTGTTAACATTTGAATACTTAAAATTTATTTATTTCAACCATTTGATGGATAATTTTTTTGACAATTTTTGTTTCTTTTCTTTTACTAATTAATTAATTTAAAAATATTAAAGAAAAATATTTTAAACACTGTTTAATTTGATAATTACGCTTATATATGAAAAAGAAAAGAAAAGAAGTGAGAAACATTAAATTTAATAATAAGAATATTTTTTTTTTGCATCGTACGACAATAGTGTAAAATAATTAGAAATTCTCATTGAAGAAGATGAGAAAAAAAGAAGGGTGGGTAGGAATCAATTCGTATATTCCGATAGAAAATGCGTTCGGTATTAAAACTGTTCCTCGAGTAAGTCGATCGAACGAGAAAACCAATCGAATGGCTCGAATTGTCGATAATCCGAAGAAACGGAGCGCGTCAGCGAAAAAAAATGCGAAAAGAAAATACGCGGGTCCCCCCGAAGTCGGTTGAATATATATACATATACATATATATATATATATATATCGCGTGTTGCTGCACATCATTGCGAAATGGCAGAACGTGGGATGGGATACGTTGAAGAAGGGGTTGGAGAGTGAGAGAAAAAAAATAGGAAAACGAGGAGTGGAAGAGGAGGGTGGGTGAGTGGGTGGTGGTGGTGGTGGTGGAAATGCAACCACATACAAGAGTTGTGTGTGTGCATGTTTGTTGGTGCGATAGAGTAAAGTACTGGATAAAGATAAAACGAAAGAGTTGGAGTATAAAAGAGAGGGGGAGGGTAGGGGGAGAGTTGGTCTAAAGAGAAAGCGAGGAATTGTCATTCGGTGGAATTGCAATTTCTCGCTGACGCGTGCTGTGTTGTGTAACCCCCGGCACATGATGAGTAAAGGCGGACTAATGATGCACACTAGACTTAATGCTCCGTTCCCGTTCTCATTTCCCACAAAGGTGCGAGGTGCCTGCGGAACGTCAGCTTGGAAGTGGTTCCGGAGGCAGTGCAACGTGGTCAGGAGGTGATTCTGCGCTGCCATTATGATCTCGAGAAGGCGCCCCTTTACTCTGTCAAGTGGTACCGCGGTAGGCACGAGTTCTACCGATACTCACCGGACCAAGAACCGACCACCAAGATCTTTAATGTCACTGGCATATACATTGATGTAAGTTGTTTTTATATATGTTTACTTTTATATTTACACGCGCTAAGCTGTTACCGTATATAACACGAGCCTGATTTATAACCAGATGCTCTCATATTGTCACTGGTTTGTGTTTACATGGTTTTAGAAGTGTTCTATTTAACTTGACTACTTTTAAAACTTTGAGTGTCAAGTATGTTTTAAGAATAGTATATATATACTCTTGTATAACATTGGTTCATATATATGTATAAGTAGTACAAACATTACAACTTTGAAAATTGTATAACACTATATATGCAAGTAGTGTTCTATTTTACTTGTATACTTTAATTAACACAGACAATAGTACATTCCTGTTTTGTATTCGTTTATATACAAGAAAATTTGAAAAATTGTTACTTTTGTTTATACGACACTCCATACAAGTATTCCATTTAAACTTGACTACTTTTAACATGTAGAGAACAGTATATTCCTATAAAGTATTGGTTCATATAACACGATACAAACATTGTGACCTTTTGTTCATCTAACACCACATACTACACGTGTCGTGTTTGATTGCTATAATACTATATTTCAAGTACATTTACAAAATAGTTAATTTCTTTATAGTATTCGGTTTCTATAAAACAATGTAGAGAAATTGAGAATTTTCTTTGTGTAACATCGTATACAGATTTCCCATCTAACTTGACTGCTTTAATACTTCGCGTGCAAAGCATATTTGCTTTCTGTTCCCTGAAGTATCGAAATATTCATAAGCAATTCGCGCTTTAGCTTACGACTTATGTTCGAGAATTTTGTTCTGTATAATCGAAGGTGAATCAAAATTTCATGTAAAATCCAAAACATATTTATCTTCTTTGAAGAAAGTCTACTGTTTTCCGATATAAGATAATATTGAAAAGAAAATGAAAAAGTTACGAATTAAAATGCTTTTAATTTTGATTATATGAAAATTAAAAACAATTTTTTCAATCTTTATATTTATTAAACTTTTAATTGTATTAATCAACTTTGGTGTTAGTGAAATGAAACTATGTCAGCGTGAATGCAATGACCTACATTATTTACTCTTATAATTCTTTGTTTTTCTTTTATAATTTTCTATCCTGATAGGCTTCTTTAAAAAAGTTATAAAGTCATTTACGATAAAACTTGGGATTTATTCGACCTTCTGTTTTTATCGTTGTATAATAATTTTGTTTGCATTTTACCTATTTACTATCGTCAAACCTCATTTCAGTTGACATGAACTTTCATCGAACTTTATTTAAATATTTCTGTATAGTTATTTAAAAAAGACACCTAGTTTTAAATTTTTGTAATAAAACATCTTCTTAATAGTTTTTTATGCAAACTACTAATTTCATTATTTTCTTCTTTTTTCTATAATTGATATAATAAAATATTTATAATTAATTAGGTCATTAATATTCGATCAATTTACGAATATGTGTGCGATCAGATATTACCCTAACATTTTTATCCATATAGCACTTTTTAAATTTCGTTTTAATTCTACAAATCAGTTTTCATCGAGTGTAACAATACGCTCGAAAAATGATTCGTTTATGTTCCGTTTCAAGAGTTTAATCACAAACTGAAATCCAATCAATCCAATTTTTTTTTTCTTTTTTTGTTTTTTTTTTTATTTTTTTTTTTATTTTTTTTTCATTTAAATCATACTTAATCCGATTCCAAAACTCTCAACTGATGGTTTTGAAATTTTTAGTATTTCAGTAATCTCTCGTTTAAAACGTAAATTATTTCGAATATTTATAAAAATGTTTTTGAAATAATAAAAAATAAATAAATAAATGGAACAAAACTTAAAGTCATGTTATAGCTATATAACTATAACTAAAGTCATGTTATGTTTAAAATATTTAATGTGAACAACTTTAGTCATTTTAATAAATGAAAAAGAAAACAGATAGTTAAAAAATAAGAACATCGAAAAAAGAAACATGATTTGATGAATGAAAACTAACAATTAGTAAAAAATTAAATCAGCAAGCTAATACAGGTTTTATTCTTCTTTTTTCATTCTTTCATTTATAAAATTACAATGTAATAACAAAATTAAATGAGATTTCAAAAAATGAATCCTTAAATTATATTATAACGGCTGTAATAATCAAATTTTAATTAATTTGATTACAAATTCATTATTTGTTTTTAAAATCATTTATTTTTTCGTTAAAATATCAATAATATTACTAAAAATTAGTAATTTTAAAATTTAAGCCTTTACATTACCATAAATAAGAAAAATAGTGTCAAATATAAAATAGTAAAAATTCGTTAATAATTTTACATTAATTTTTTAGTAATAATTTTCCAATTACTTCGTAAATTCAGAAAAACAGAATACTTATAAGACGAAATGAATCTTTTTAGAGAAATCACGCTTAATTTAATTAGTCAGAAAAATTTGTTAATAATATACTTTACATTTTGTATTATTTTTTTTTTATTTTTTATTAGGAATAGAGTATTTTGCTTTAAATTGCGATTTCATCAAAAACACCATTTTTATTTTTCATGACAGCCAACATATTTTAGAAATCTTTGCAATTAATTTTCCGAGTGTTCCGAATTTAATATTTCTCCCATATATTTTATAAAAATTGCCAAAAGTTTGTCTCAGTAAAAAGATTTATTCCTAAAAATATTTTAAACTGGGTGTATAAACAATATGAAAATATTATTGGCATAAAATGGTACTAAAATCTGTTACAATATAATTCAAATTGTTAAACTCATTAATTTCGCAAATTGAAATAACGTTTTTTGCCATAAGAAAAAAACAAGTTTCGTTATTTTTAGTTTCTCGAGTCATCGATACGCGAGTGAAAAAAATAAAATAGAATTTAAACGAGATATTTTATAAACCTGTTTTTAAAACTTGATATCCTATGCAGTAGATTTTCGAATAAACGAAAAATCTCTACAACATGAATTTCTATAACGCACCATAAAGATATTTCGACGATTTTTCTCTTATAAAACAAATCCTCTAACAATTCGTGATATACAATTAAATGTTAAAATATATACGAATATATGTAAAAAATGAAACTTACGCATAGTTGACCAACAATTTTTATTTAAATTTATTTCATGACACTGACACTATTACTTCGTAATTGAATTTAAAAGTAAAACAATACGAATAAATTAATTAACTTAAACTACTGTATAAATAAACAATATTAAGTAAACTTAATAATAAATTTATAATATATAAATATAATATAATATAATTTTATAAATAAATTTATTAAATTTTTATAGATAAAAAATATTATTATCATTATAATTTAATTTTTTTATTACTATTATAATATTATTATGTATATTAAAATTTATATAAGTAAATAATATAATTATATATATTAATTGGCATTAGGAACTCGAAAGTTATAAATATTATAAATATAAATAATATATAATATTATATAAGTATTTTTAATACTTTTTATTTATAATATATATAAATATAATATATAATCTTATTAATAATTTTATTTATCATTAAACTTTTAATATGTTATTTTCGTATGACAAACAGTATAACAATAATACACAACAACAGCTTTTACTAATGTAATATCTATTTACACTGCGTTTTTTTTTTTTAATAGTGTGATGTGTAACTCAGTAATAAAAAAGAAAATATAATTTATAAATAGATTTTTAAAAAATAGTACACTAATTGTAATGTAAAATTGCATTGATAATTTCTAAAAATGTAGATTTTGGTAATCATAAGAAAAATTTTTGTTTTCTTTTTTTTGTTTGGTATGCATAAAAACCAATGATTTTGATTGATTAATTTTATTTCTTTATACTTTAAAGATACTATTCATACAAAAAAAAAGTCTTATCTCGATGAATACTATACTCGAAATAACTGATAATAGTTCATTATTATGATTGCACATACAATGTTGCTATTGGTCTTTTTGGAAAAGAAAGTTCTTGCACACACGGTGTGCGAGTGGTCTCGAATGGGTTAATTCAAAAACTTTTGATCGATAGTTTGCATTTCCAAAAATAGACTAAAATAATTAGACTTATTTTCCTATTCTCTCTCACACACAAATACACACACATATCTTATAAATGTTCGTATCAAAACGTGAGCAATTGCTAGGAATCCTAAACGAGAACGTATGATATATATAGCAGTAATAAAGTCATTCGAATCGCGTTCTTCCATATTTCTTGATTTATGCTTCTCGGAAGCAATGTAAAATCGACAAAGAGAGAGTGTAGAGAGAGAAAGAGAGATAACAAAAAAAAAGATGGATGGATAGAAAAGGAAGAGAAGAAATATGGCGTTGCTTTTATCGGAACCACGACGCATCGTTTTACGCCACCTCGTGGAGATGATGCTCGTTAACAGCACTATACCCTTGACCAATCTAATCGTCGTAAAACAATCCGTTCAACGGTTCGACTTTTTTTTTTTTTATCATCGTTTCGACGCTTCCATCGATGCAATTTCACGTGCCATACAACCCCCCAGAAAAACACCATCTCATTTCGTTCTCAAAAGCTTTTCTACTTTACTTTAAACACGATGACTTCAATATAATCTGAACTCCTTTTCCTGTCAAACAATTTTTCTTTTGTGTCAGAGGAGGAAGGAGGGAGGGAGAGAGGTGGAGCACATCATCTCAAGCGTATATGGTGTTAGTTATTTTCAACATTGGAGATCATCTTCCAACATGAGATCGACTTTTTTATTTATTCTTTTCAGAATATATTCGTTTATGTTCGATCGCTTTGTAGCACGGGATACGCTTTACGTTATTTTTTTAATTCAAAAGAGAAAAGGCAATAAAAAAAAAATACACACACTCACATACACAGTATTAAATATAATACTGAAGAATTGAGTATCTATCATCTTTATTTTTGATATTTTGCAATCTTATTGTAATATAGATAACATTGAAGGAATAGATATTATGATGTGATCTCTGTTTCTCGTTGATATATTCTTTTATCGAATAGAAAAACTAGATCAAACTTCATCTAGAAAACTGTTTTGTTATTCTTCGATTTCCATTTTATTTTCCTCAATTCACCTTCTCTTGTTTGATTTATAATAAAATAGAAATCGTACGCCTCCTGTTCTTTTCATTCTTTCTGTTTCATCTCCTTTCTCTCTCTTTCTCGTTTTATTTTTAGAAGAAAATTAAAAAGAATTATAAATTTTGACGTCGTTCTTTATCCCTTGGTTTCATATATATACGTCATGCATTTGTTTGGGCAAAGAAGCACATGACGCGTTCTGATACGTTGTTGAAATTGAGACGAGATTGAATTAATTTCATTTTGTTTTCTTGCAAAATAATGTTCTAATTGAATTAAATCTGTTTTAATTCAATAATAATTTTTATATTATAATTAATTATTTTAATATTTAATATTATATATTTAACCCTTTTCGGACGTATTCAATTTAGATATAGATGTCGTAGTGGTCGGAATTAATTTATATATGTATTTTATGTATATTTTATATATATTTTATTATTATATTATTTTATTTATGTTATATTTATATTATATATTTATATTATTTATTTATATTATAATATTATTATTTTATATATATATATAATATATTGTTTATGTAAAAATACATATAAAATATATATTTAATAAATATATATAAAAAGGCTTTGGTGGCTGAGAATTGATACGCGTCCAAAAAGGGTTAATATTAATTTTATTTATTTTAATATTTCAAAGTAATTTTTAAATAAATGTGTATCCAAAGGTTTAATCAAAAATTACAAAAACAAATGGACATTTACTTTTTACCTTCTTCTCTTATCTCGGTTGGGAACTTTTAAAACGATAGCGAGAGAAAGAAGGGGTAAGATGATGTGGGGTTTGGGGTGGGTGGGGTGTTCTTTTTGAGACGACAAACCAAGTTACTTTTTTATCTGTTTATTTCTCTCCCGTTACCTTCCTTTCCAGAGAAAATACGAAGAATTCGTCTGCCTTACTTTCGTTTCGTCAAAGGAACCACTACCACTACCATTCCTTCAATTTTTTTTTTTTTTTGACGTCTTCTTTTTCTTTTTTCGTAACTCCCTCATTTTAACATTTTAGTTTCTTACCTTCGTTCGTTATTTGAACTTCTCTAATTACGCATACAATCCTTTGACTGTACCGATTAAACCTTTCCTCACTGACGCGTTTTCCTTCTTCGTTTTCTTCGATTGTATATATTTCCTTCTCTCTCTTACTATCTTTTCCTTTCTTTCTTTACTTTCATCTTCGCCACTTAGGCTCATCGAGTCAATTTATCCGAGTGCTAGATAATTTCTGATAAGACGTTGATTTACTCAAGTGCGCTCATTGGAACTTTAGCGAACGTTGAAAACGAATATTGAAAATAAAATCCTTATCTCTCCCTCTCTCTTTCTCTCTCTCTCTCTTTTTCCTTTCTTCTATTCTCTATCTCTTTCTCTCATTTCCATAGACGATAAAGAAGATATCAAACCGATAAAATGCTAATGAAACAATTCGAACAGACCTTCGATTAAATTAGACTTCCTTACAGTATCCTCGAATATGCTTTTTGTAACTACTTCAATGAATCTGTCTTATTCTCTCTCTCTCTCTCTCTCCTTCTCTCTCTTTCTTTCTCTCCTTCTCTTCCTCTTCTTGTATTTATTTCCTTCTCTCTCTTTCTCTGACTCTTTCTCTCAATCTATTTAATTTTGTTCTCTTTTTATATTCACCTTTGATAAAGTTCCTTGTTATTTGAATTATAAATAAATAAAAGAATTGGAGATTTTAAATGAATTATTTTTATTTTTTATTTTTATCTCATTAAACGACGATTTCATTTGAATCGTAATTAATTTAAATCACGTAACTACGCTTCAAGAATATTAATAAAAGGGGACAATTTTCAAAGGAATATATATCTTTGTTAGTCAATCGTGGTAATAAATTAATTTAGAAATGAATGATCTCAATGGTATGAAAATATAATATATTTGTTTTTTTTTTTATTTTAGGAAAATATTGAATAATAGAAATTTCATTTATACATATTTATTAATTGATTCGTGCACGTTTACTGTGAATATAATTTTTGTATTCTTAATACATTTGCGAAAGATCTCTCTCTTTGATTAGTCGAAATATTTTGAATTTATTTATTGATTTAATATTCTTATTTAAAAAAATAATTTCTATAATAAATTTTAATTAGTAATTTCAGACTAAATTCGATTGTATTATCGAATCGTTTTAGAAAGAAGTAATACGTTTTATCATTGAAATGAAAAAATATTATATTGATATTAAAATATTAAAATTAAATACTTAATTTGCCATAAAATTGTTATATGGCTTTTTAACTAAATCAATCCGTATAAATAAATTTGATATTTGTATTACTATTTATTTTTTCGAAATGAAATTAAACAATAAAAATAATTTTGATAAAGATATTATTTTCATTTATATTGTGAAGAAATCATTATATTCATACATACATACACAGATATTACATTGTAAATAAAATAATTATAATCGTAAAACTGTCATTATTTTTTTTCGAATGATTTCTTTAAACATAAATGTATATATATATATACACGATATTGTCCTTGACTGGTATTTAATCTTAAAATAATATTTAATCTTATCTTCGTTAGAAGATCCCTTTAATCAAAACATTAAAACTAACGCTGAGAGTGATTCGATATGTTTGTACATACAAACAATGTATCAACGAACAAATAATGTCATATACACAATCAGTATTATCTCATACGAGCTAACGTAAAGATCAAAACAACGTCTTTTCGTCATTAACCAAAAATTTCAAAGTATTGAGAATCAAATCAAATTTACCTTTATACTTTATTTAATTTAATTAATACTTTCATGATCAATAGCTTAATTTATATGATTTTGTAATCTTTAACTAGATACATATTGAAAATATAATATATCATTATAATGATTCAATATTAAAGATAATAATAATTCAAAAACATTGATAAAAGATTAATAAAAAGATGTAACTAATACCAATAAACACATTTATTGATAAATTAATCATAAACATAAGGAATACAAATCATTGATAAATCCATTTTAAATAATATATAAATAAGAACACTATTTACATCTTATAAAAGTGATAAATCATAAAGAATAAATCATTAACATAAAGAATATAAATTGATAGATCAATCTCAAATATAAATAATAATATTATTTATATCAAATAAAAGTGATAAATCAATCAACATTTCCAACCAACTAATTTAATATTGAAACTAAAAACTTACTAATTAAAAGAAATAAACTTGTTAACCCATTACCCACCAATAGCCTCTTTTTAGGACGCATTTTCAAATTTTTTGTTTTTAATAACTGCAACTTCAGAATGAAATATATTCATTAAAATCACGATATAGTTACCTCATGCTTCATGAAAATATTAAATATTCTTAGTATCTTATTTTAAATCAATAAATAATGATATAAAATAATTTTTATATTTAAATAAAATAAAAAAAAAACAATTTTTGTAAAATTTGGTTAATATGAATATCATTATACTTCTAATTTAATTTTTTTTGCATTTTGTGGCGCATTACCTTACGGCGCATTACCATTACCCGCATTTGTGGCGGGTAATAGGACTATTTTATTTTAAATCAATAATAAATGATATAAAATAATTTTTATATTTAAATAAAAAAACAAAACAATTGTAAAATAGTTTCATTTGATTACTATGAATATCATTATACATTTAATTTAATTTTTTTTTTTTTTTTTGCATTTTTGTATTGTGGCGAGTAATGGAACTATTTTATTTTAAATCAATAATAAATGATATAAAATAATTTTTATATTTAAATAAAAAAACAAAACAATTGTAAAATAGTTTCATTTGATTACTATGAATATCATTATACATTTAATTTAATTTTTTTTTTTTTTGCATTTTTGTATTGTGGCGTGTAATGGGTTAAATTATGATAACAAAATATAATATTATGAAAATGAATGTATAAGTTAATGTTGAAATATAAATGATATTCGTGTATCTGTATGTGATGGTAAGTCAAGCAACGTCAGTACATTTTCAATGTGTGGTTTCAGGCTGAGAAGTCCAACAACAACGAGGTAACCCTGTACAACGTCGACTTTGCCCTCTCGGGTACGTTCAGCTGCGAAGTTACTGCAGACGCGCCGACCTTCTCCACAAACTCTGGCATGAAGAATCTTACCGTAGTGTGTAAGTACACGCTCGACAGCATTACTGAGTATCATGAAACATATAGCATTTCTCTCTCTCTCTCTCTTTCTCTCTCTTACTCTCTTTTTCTCTTTCTCTTTCTCTTTTACTGTATCTCACTCACCCTTTAGCTTTCTCTACGACTCACTCAGAGACAACCCTTTTACCACATACCCACACTCTGTTTCTCTCTCCGTTTCTCTCTGTTTCTCTCTCTTTCTCTTTCTAGCTTTCTCTATCTCTCTCTTATCCTGCATTCGGTTTCCAAGTTCGCCTGGAGCAGTACTTGCACGTGCTTCTTCGTTCCATCGAACGCATAATCTCCTTTCCGCGTTACTCTCCGTGTCTTCTCTCTTTTTCTCTCTTCATCTTGATATGTTTCCAAGAAAAAGAATCTTGAAAGAATAAGAGAGAAAAATTAATTAATATTTTTTTGCTCATACAGGTAGAATGAAAATTTAACCCTAATGAGATTTCTGTTTTGGTTGGTTCAAATCGTTTTTTTGTTTTTTAATTTTTTTTTATCTTGAAAAATTACTTTGAAAATATTTACGTAAAAGTAAAAGAAAAATAAATTAAAATTCGTTTGGTTTTAAGAAAAAAAATATTAGGGAAATAATTATAAATTAAAAAATTTGTATATTTATAAACATTTTATTGATATACATTAAGTAAATGTTAATTTAATTACACGTTTACGAAATTTCTCTATCTCTCTCATTTCCGATCCCTTTTTGATATAAGGGTCTTTTATAGGATATACGACAAATTTAGTAAATATGAAAAGTTTATCGGTCTCCTACCACGCATTTCGCGCAACCCTTTTAGATCAAAGCATATCGAACAGCTTTGCTGTTTTGCGGTTAATCCCAGATACAAGCTACGAGTATGCACAAAGAAGGATACTTGCGTTCAAGGAAAGGAAAAAGTGTGCATATGTACAGATGATTACCGTAAATTCTCGATTTAAACGATGCATACTACTAGTGTAGATACACAGTTTTACGAACTTTCAGTTTTCGATGGGTTTGTAGTTTACCAATGGGGGAAAATGAAAGGGCACACCTCTAATGGACGTTTTTCGTGAACGTTTCGTGTTTTTCACCAATGTTTCGTTGAAGCTGTTTTCGGGGCTTTTCGTTCAAGCTTTTGCTTTTACTACTACCTCGAGGAAATTCAAACGGAAGCTTTTTCTGTTTGGCATGGAAAATCGTTACGTTTTTTTCCCTATCGCCAAAGCGATATATCATTGTTGTTTGAATTTTTGTTTTTTGGTTTTTTGGGTTTTTTTTTTTTTTCTGTTAGGAAGAAAGAGTCGTACAATTTGTGTATCAGTTACGTGCCAAATTTAAAAGTATTTAAAATGCAATATGAATACAGTTAGTAATTTGAGAACTTATACATTGAAACGTATGATTTATTTCTATTTTTATGTTTTATTTTTTATTAGATTTTAAAAAATAGTTGAAGAGATTTTGAAACATTTAGAGTTATGTTTGAGTAGTATAATTTGGTTGGAAATCAACATTTATTTTTCTTACATTTTTGAAAAAGGGAAACTAAGAAACTTGTGGGATTTGTTTAGACAGTTGGTAAGGTTAGAGTAGAACCTGTAGGAAACAAGAAAGTTTAAATGAAGACAAGGGTTGGTTCTATGATGGGATGGAGAATTCTAGATTTAACAGACGTTACCAATTGTAAAATTATTATTACAGTTATTATTATTATTATTATTATTATTATTATTATTATTATTATTATTATTATTATTTTTATCAGTATCATATTTTTATTACTAAATAAAATAAATCTTTGTTAAATTGTATAAGCAAATAGTTTCTGTATTTGTGAGACTTTATTTTTGAAAATTCCATACTTCAAATACAATAAATAAAAAAAGCATTTTTTATATTAACCCTTTCGCTACGGCAGTGTCTTCCGTAGGAGCGTCACCGCTGTACGGGCCCGCGTGCCGCCGAAGTAGCGCCACTGCGCCGGAAAGTATGCATGTTGTACTTAGGTAAACTGGTGTTCAGACGCATATCTTTCTGTGCAGACTTGTCATTCTCCGGGTCGTACGATTCTTTAAGTGTTACACAACAACATATTATATAGTGGTATCAAACTGACGTCGTCTATAGGCGACACTCGTACACACAAGTCGTCGCGCGGATGTCGTCTATAGGCGACACTCGTACACACAGGTCGTCGCACGGATGTCGCCTATAGGCGACGCTCGTAGCGAAAGGGTTAAACATTACATTTTTCGTTAAAAGTGTGACAATAATAATGATTACTGTAATAATAGTATAATGACTATAATAATAAATTGAAGAGAGAAAGAGTAATATGAAATTAACACGTTTCGTGCTAAGTCCTTTTCACCTGATTCGTCATTCAAGTCATTTAATTTTGCTTTAATAAAATCAGCAATTACATGTTATTTGTAATTATTTAATTTATTAATATTATTATAAATATATAATTTTTATTAATTATTATTAAATTAATTTTATTAATAATTATTTATTTCAATTAATTATTATAAATATAGCAATTAAATAAACTTATGTGCTTTGTTATATACTGCATTTTGTATATTGCATCAATATTATGATAGAAATATTCTTTTACAGAATTAAATTTATTATAAACTAATTTTCAGCGCATTAAATAAATATGTCTAATGGTAAGTGTACCACCGGTGGTATACATGGCACGGAACGTGTTAAATGTATTGAGTTGTTCAGAAAGTAACTTCATTTTTCTTTTGTGAATATGAAGACAATTTTCGCTTTGAGGTTAAACCTAGGCCTTTCAAGTGGGCATAAACAGTTAAATTTGATAAATTTAACCTCTCATCGATTTCACGTGTTGTTATTTGCCAGTTTCCATCAACGAATGCCTTTATTGTGTCAGGAAAAAACGAAATTACTTTCCAAACAACCTAATATAAGTATATATTTTAAAAAAACATTGTTATTATTATTAGTAACACTAGAACTACCACACCAGTCATTTTGACTGATTGGTCTTTGACTTGATTTGGTATCAAGAATATTTTGGTACCAAATATTATTCATTATTGTACTTATTGTTATTATATAGTTTTTAAGATCTCAGAATATGGAGTTCTTTTTGTAAAATAATAATAAGTCTCTTAAAATAATAATAAATATAAAAATATTTTACCTTTATCGCGTTTTGCACCAAAGATTTTACGAAGAACTTTATTTTCGAAAGCCCTAAATTTTTTTTCGTCCCATAACGTAAGTGACCACTATCCGCTACCATAAAGGACTACCGGTACGATGATATTGTCCGATATATCCTGATTTTTAAGCGCCTAAACAACAATCGCGAGATGAGTAATTTATTGACCGAATAAAAGCATGCATTGCCTAAATTAATTCTTTTAGAAAAAAAAAAATCATTTAAAACTTATAATTATAACGTTATATAAAAAATTTGATTTGAAAGCTAAAAAATATCAATTAAATCTCAATCAAATAAAATGTTTCAAGTGTTCGAAGAAAGTCACTTTAAGATCACCTTTTACATATATATATCTATATATTTAGTATATGTTTGTATATACATATATGTTTGTACGTATGTGAGTGTAAGTCCTTTATAAAGCACACGTGTCTACTTTAACTCGGTCACAAGTACCTGAAGCGGGAAGAAGAGACTCTCAAGGCAGTAAAACATTCGTTCACCAGAGTCGCACACAGATCTCTCATGAGAATTCGTTAAGTGATCGCGTGACTAACGATACCTTGACTATCTGGCATTCTACTTGAGAAACTAACCGAATGAAGTTGGTTTCTTGTCATGGGGTATTCTTTTAAATACGGGATGAGTTTACAAAATTATATCCTTTAGGATATTTCATGTCACGAGGTATCAGGTTGTTCGGAAAGTTTGTGGTAACTTATGAACATATTATATTGACACGAGGGAAAAGTTTTTTCATATTTTAATGTAAAAGTGAAACAAGTTTTTTTTTGCATTTTGTATTTAGCCTATTTGAAATAGTTGAAAACCGTTTTTTGGTCGATGTTTAGTTTTTTATCAATATCGTGACTGTAAACGTATGTACACTGTACTTTAATAAAGAATATTTTAATAAAGAAAAAGTAAGCTGGTATTTATCAGCTTTCAAATCAAATTTTTTAAATAAAGTTTCAATTTATTTTAATGTTAAGTTAAAAATTTTTTTTTAAATATACTTAAACATTCAATTTCACGAAGTAAAAAACTTACTATATTTTTTATGATATCTCATGACTTTTCCATTGATTGGTCGACTATAACAAGGATTATCTTGAACAGCGAAATTTTTAAATTAAAAATGATCCATTCAGCTCACATTTTTTTATTTTTGAAATAAAATTTAAAAATGTATCTTTATTTTCTCTTATTTTTAATATGCAAAAATTTTTTATCAAATAAACAAATAAAATAATTTTTTGTTTTAATAAATTTATTATCTGTTAACTTTCAAACGTATGCACATATTTCCAGATCTAATCAATATTACAGAATTATGCAATTTTGAAATTATTTACAATGAAAATAGGAAGAAACTTCGTTTATAGCCTTAAAATATTTCATTTAATATTTTTATTAAATAAATACAGTTTTTTCTAAAATTACCAAAAATTACAAAAGCTTGTTTATTCATAGTTTCGTATATCAGTATATTTTGTTGAAATAATTGAAATATAAAGATAAACTGTCAGGATAATTCTTGAAAAATTTTAGTACACTTTTTGTAATATCTCGTATAATATGAAACTATTAAAATTTTTCTCATAGCAAAAAATTCTATAATATCTGCTAGACTTCCATTACCTTTTTTTAATTCACGTGGTTTCTTACTTCATGATACGAATTTTATCGTATACGTTGTTGTTATTATTATTCCCATATAAGTTATTACAAAAATCATTATAGAACATATTTAATCGTTAATCGTTGTTAACCTCTTTATTTAT